CACTTCTGCCCACCATACACCCTGAGACTATGACAATAAGACAATAAGCTGAGGGGCGGGGTGGCGTCTTAAATTTTAGTCAACATAGCAGCATAAAATATGAGTTAAGGTATATCTAGAATTGATCTCTGGTTTTTTTTAAAGGTTTACAATGAAAAATCTCTGTTTCACATATGGGATGTACCATGTGGCAGTCATTTGCATGAAAATAGACGATTAAGTGAAAGAGATAGAGTCAGGGCTGTTCTGTGAACTGGCTGCTGAGTTTAGAATACCAAACAGAAAGGGTTTTCCTTTCCTCCGCTGTTACCCTGCCTTTGCAGAATCACCTGCAGCTCCCCATTTTACATATGCATTTAGCCGTTAATCTCCCAAGTGTTGGTTACTTTCTTAGTGCGAGGGTTACTAAAATATTGCAGTAATCCTGTCTGCCTGAAGCCCTGACAACGTTTAGGCTGAGCGGCCCTTCAGAAATAAACCTATGACTTGTCAGTGAGGAGGTGATGATGTGCCGGCTTGTCGGAGAGGAGGAGGAAGGAAAAGTTGTGGTCAGCTGGGGGATTGCTGATGTTTAGAAAACTTGACCTCAGGTCCTTAAGAGTGGGCCCTACATTCAGTTTCAGGCTCCTCTTTTAAATGTAATAAATGTCAAACAGAATTGGTAATGAAGTGCAGAAGTCTTTACATTTTTATATCTTTTTGTATATATACACATTTAAAGTATCTCCTACTCTTGTCTACACGATAGAATAAAAGCCTTGAATTATTCAAACATAAAAAAACAATATACCGCATGATAAATATTGACATAAATAAATAAAATAAAAAAACATATTGCCTGCTACGAAAAGCAATCCCCATCAGATATGTATTGTTTTGGTATATGATATATTTGAGTAAAGCTTTAAAAAGTAAACACCTACATTCTGCTGTATTCCTAAAACTTTTTATTTTTCAAATAATTTACCTTCTTATGGTAGATATTAGCTGGTTAATTGGTCATCTATGCAAGTTTCTTTAAAAGATATCGGCGTGCCACGAGCCATCCATGATTTTCAGATCGCTTGCAAATGGCCAATTTTTGTTTTAAGGGAATAAAGCTGGAGCCTTTAGATTTTTTTGATGGCAATAAAAAAGGCATTTATTTTAAAACTTGTACATATATTCACCTGGGACATCAATATCCCAGTTTTATTCATTCCTGCCTATTTTGCACTAAAAAACATGCTTCTTAGTCCTTGTGGAACCGGTCTTAAGTGGATTCGGTGTAGGTGTTCATTCTGATATAATCCAGGGCAGAGAGGAATGGAAAAGGGCAGAGGGCAGATTTATTCAGGAAGTGGGTACTTTCTGATGCATTCATTGCAACACTGAAGCACACACACAGACACCTCACAGCACTGACCCGTGCCACATCTGGAAACAATTACACTCATGTTCTGACTTGACCTGCGTGCACCCAGGTTAAACTTTTTTCATGTGCTTGTCGTTGGGGTGGAGGGTGGGATTGCAGAGCAGAGGTGACCCTGACACGCTGGCTGTGGGGAAATGTTGTGTAATTAGTGCAAAAGAACAGAACTCTGCCTGTCTGAAAAAAAGAACATAAAGAATCCTGAGGTCTTTGACGGGATATACGCGGAGATAAAGAAGATGAGGCGCCAACTTGATGCGCTGCTCAATGACCCACGGAGGAATTTGCGAGGACATGAAGAGCATCTGAATTATCAGGCATCTCTGCTTCGCGCGCCGGCACTTTCATGTGCGGACGGCTGCGGATGATGCAATGTTTGATTTCTACACTTCAGGAGGCTGTCAGGACAGCGCATGCAATATTAAACAGTGTCGTGTCGGTGTATCAACCAGACTAAATTAACCCATTAGTATGCTACGGTGCAAAGCGGGAAGATCAATGCATGAAACGGTTTGGAAATCTCCTTTGATACAAGATTTCCCAGCTTGAGCGAATTGATGAAATTCCTCTTGAAACACAGGCAACTATTTCAGACACCCCCACCTCCCCCCAAAAAACAGAATCTGGTGAAGCTTGTCCATTAAAAAAAGTGTGACTACACTGTTGCCTCTTACATAGAGGCTGAAGCGGGTTTTTAAAGCTGTTTGTGCTTGAAGAGAATTGATCATTAGCAGCTGGAAATCTACCTGAATGTTTACCTTTTTCCCCATAAAGCAACATTGTGTCGGTCCGTGGTGGATTTCCATCTTTTATATAATGAATAATGGGCACTTTTTACGAAGGCCAAACAAATAGAAACGCTTTCAGAAGTAATTGCCAGCGCCACAGGAGTAAGAGACTTCATTGCTGTTATTAAATGGCGGAGAAACATAGTGAGAGGCTCTAAACAAGGACGACTCTCTCATGAGTAAAAGCTATTCCATAATTTCCAATATTTTCTTTTTTTTGGTGGGGGGAGCAGCTCCATTAGGAGCTGGGACAGAACCACCTGTAAGTTGTGAGAAGAGGTTGGGGGTAGGGGGGTATTGAACTTTAACCACTGTGCTTTCTTATTGATCTAAGCAAACATTGCAGGGTGAGAAGGTGGCCTTGAATGCAGGAAAATGCCTCCTGTTGAGGGAGAACTCAGACTGTTAAAATCAGAGAAACGCACAGTAAGGAACACCGAGTGAATCAACCGGTTTAAAAAGCTGCAGGGCTGATATATCGTCTCCTGCCACTCCCCTCTCCTAGAACTACCTCCTTGTCTCAGAGCCCAGCTTCAGCACTCATTTCCTGAGCTGACCGTCTACTCCAATTATCAAGCCAATAAAGGACCCCCTTGTGCAGTTATGGGAAAAGGAGTACGGTCCAGGACAAGGGGGTTCCACAGTAGTAAGTGTCTGCGATGGCTGCTGCCCACATATTGGAAGGTGTGACTAATGGTCTTGGACAATGTTGAGACAGCGCTGCTCCGGCAGTCACCTGGGCAGGCATAGCAGTTACTGGAGAAGTGAATCTCCTCGCTGGAGCTGTCAGCCAAGGACAACTGCAGTTTGTGTGAAAACAAAATGATGTGAACTCTTCAAACGTGGTACAAGATAACTGGAGGGATTTCTTTCTTAGTGAAAAATACCCCCAAAACGTATCAAATGATTGTTGGCAAAATGCCAAGTACTTTTCCCTCACTGAATACTAACCAGAGGTGTTTAATAGTATATCAGTGGGATTTGAACATAATTATAAGAAATAAGATATATTTAAAATAGCAATTCAACATCAATCAGTTTCCTGGTACAAATACAATCTCTATGCATCAACAAAAGAGACTTGTACACTTGTATACTACTACTTGTAGCTTTAGGGAGTAACAATGAACCAACTGATCCAACAGTCATAACATGCATCCTAGTGATCATGTGTAAAGCAGCCATTACTTCAAAGGAGGGTGTTTATATTAGCAAAAGTAAAAAAGTTTGAACAGTTAAGATAGTCATACGGAAGAGACAAATGGATATTATTTAAAGACAATGTGCTGTTGTAGAACCGTCTCTCTGAAAGCCTTGGTGATAGTGGTTATCACAAGAATTGCTTAGAGGAATACAAAATAACCTAAATTAAAACCAAAAAAAGGAAGGGATGAAAGAAAACAGAAAAGTAACATTCCCATGACTGGAACTAAAGCCAGAATGGCAAAGATTCAGCAGTAAATGGTCAGCTGGTGACTAGAGAAGGTCTAAGCTATGATCATATCTTTTAAGTAGCAGCTATTTCAAGAAAATTCGGCCACAAAGAATGCCCTTTTGGTGTATACTTTGCCTTAAGGGGCTGCAGTGATTCCTTTCAATAGTAGATTGTGCTGCTGATAAAGCAACCTATTTTTAACAACTGTCAACAGAAAAAGAGGTATAGAGGAAGTACGTTACTAATACAACTAAATCTAACATTCTTCTGCAAAAATAGAACTTTCTTGCCATTTTACAAGTGTATCAAAGGTCTAGTGATACATATTCTCTTTCTGTGTTTATGCCTGTATAACCAGACATGCTTTCAGACTCTACATTGCTGTCATTCCTGTTTAACAAGTGCCACTAAGGCTTAAGGTGGACAGTACACAAAAAAGTGTGCAACTGGCAAAACAACGGGACATGCCCCCAAGAACTGTACATGCAGGCATGTTTCTGCCGAGAGCATAAGCAAGGCAATACAGTTATCGTAACGTAATAAACAGAACTGTGTACATAAGCATAAACTGTATGATATTTTGAAATGTCCATTAGTAAAAACATGAGTTAAAGAGATAACAGTTCGCCAAATAACATGTGTAGGACTCCATGATACATGTATATGAGACAGTTCTCTGAGAGAACAAACAAGAGGAAAAAGTGTTTTTTTGTTTTACATATTTTACAGTTAAATCTCAACAAACACAGGGAATGCAGTCAGATGTTATTTAACCCCTGCAGAGTTTGTTAAGTTTTATATTGACTCAAGATCCAGCATGCAGATAGAAACTGTGACGGCATCGGTACACATGTGTAATTTGGTCCTTTCAATATTTTCATTGATTTAAGTTTAGCTTTCTGTTGGACTGTCATAAAATCTAGTTTCATAATGACTGGAAAAGCAAAATTTCACACACCTTGCTATCTCTCAGAAGCAGCTTTTGTCCAGTATGAATACAAAATGTCTCTCTGGTCTACGATCTCTTTTTGATATGGACAAACAGAGCATTTCTTCCACCTAATTCTTTTTTCTAAAGCCCACTTGTCTCTATTGTTGCAGTCCCACTCCTGTATAAATACAGACAATAAACTAGCAGCCTCTGCTGTACTACTGACAATGGTTGAACTTTAAGAGAGGCTGCATATTAAAATATAAACTAGTGTAAATATAGTAAAAGACACACAACTGAATAATATTTCGCTAACAAAACAGCAGTGTCCAGTAAGACCTACTTTTGAGACGTCTAAAGTTATGCATAATTTGAAGTTTCAAGGTCAAACATCAAGGTTGGACTCAATAGATAGCAAATCAAGGAGAGACTCACCTGTGCTGCTCTACAGCTTCATTATCTGGCAGCTCTGCACCGCAAACGTTGCACCGCTCATGCTGGTTCCTGCCATCCGGCTTCATGCCCACTGCCAGCTCACCCAGCTTGCTGAAGAATTCTCTCTGGATGAAGCTCTGTGGCAGAAGCCCCCCATAGGTGCTGAAGTCCATAGACATAGCCAGAGCTGGAGACATGGGGAGGGCGGAGGCCATGGACACCGGCATGGACATCATGGCGTCTGATTTGTGATTAACAGGGAGGGAGTATAGCGAGGCGAGATGTTTCTCTGTCATTCCCGCCATTGCCTCCAGACCCATCTGACTGACTTCAGCTTGGTGGTCGACCATGTTTTCGTCGCGGACGTAGTGCAGTTCCCGGGCGCTGGTGATCACACTGCTTCTGGTTGGGGTTCCAGGACCATCTCGGTTCCGGTCTTCTCCGCTCCGGTCTCCATTGCTGGAGGCACTGGACTCCATGTTTTGAGGGCTTTCGTGGCCGTTTCCACTCATGTCTACCTGCATGTTTTCAGTCTTGATCTCAGACATTAGGTGATGAGAGTTAGCGTGGATTAGCTGCTCCCCACCAAAGCCTTGCTGCAGCAGAGACTGGCCAATGCTCATCAGGCTGTCCACTGCAGCTTTGGTGGGACTCAGGTTGGAGACGTTAAAGGAAGTAGAGACGGAGGGACTCTGGTCTACTACACCAGACATGTTGGAAGATTGTTGGGTACCTGACAAATAGGAGCTCTCCATGGAATGTTTTTTAGAGATCTTGGCTCCATTCTGGCCTTTACGTTCTTCATCCTCCTCTGTGCTGCCGTCGTTAGCGCTGACCTCAACGTCGTTTTCATCCGAGGACTGAATGGTTTCCAGGATCTTGAGGCATTGTTCTTCCAAATACTCAATTTCCAGGATCTCTGCTGCATAAAGGAGATCATCCAAGTCCTCCACCTTGGCCTGGAGTGTGGCAGTGTAAGCATACTCCAAAATCTGCTGAAAAGTCTTTGGTGAAAGAAAGTCCAGGGTGTAATGCTGGCTGCTGCGATGGAAGAGGATTTCAAACATTTTGCTGGTGCAGGCTAGCACAGTCCGGTGAGCATGAAACTCTTGGCTGTCCACCATGATGACAACATCACAAAGAGTCCCAGCCAGACGCATCTGGTTGGCCTTCTGCAGCAGAGCGGTGGGATGGTTGGGGTTCTGGAGCTGGATCATACCCATTTTAGTTAAATCCATTTTGTCGATGAAATCCACGAGGCCGACTCATGAGGCTTGCCTTCCCCCGTTCAGGAGAGCTTTTGGCCCTCTTTGTAAACAAGTATTACCTGCAAATAAAACAAATTAATAGATTACAACCATGACTGTGACAAATTATTTACCCCTCACATAATTCTTGTTTTTAATTCTTGATCAAATGTATTCCATAATATTAGATTTTAACAACTTTATACTGTCAGACCCTGCTAACTTGGGTTATGCAGGATGACAAGGATCTAAAGAAAAACTCTTCATTGCACTTGTTGCGAAGGAGGTACAAACATTTATTAGTTTAGGAAACAAATGCTTTTGCAAAATGGGCTCGGGGGGGTTTGTAGGATTTTTTTCCCAGAAGAAAATAATGTCTAGTTTGAAAAGCTCATTTTTTATTTACTCAGGTTTTCTTGGTCTGATGTCTAAACCTGTTTGATGATCTAAACCAGCAACAGACACACAAAAAAGAAGAAAACTGTCAAAGAAAAACACTTGTTTTTGTGGCACAGCAGCTCCAAGCTCAACAAGTGGAATGTTGTCTTCCATATATTAAGTCGATTCAAATTTACTTTTTGAATATATCTTATTTGACAGTGAATGTATTCAAATCATAGCACAATTTATTATGCAAATCCAAGTGTGAGGCCACTGGAGTCTCAGATTGCAAATATCCTGCAGGGATGGTAAACAATCTGTGCGGCTGCATTGTTCTGAGAAATGTGCTCAGGGTATTGACAGTATTTTCTAAAAGGAGACAATTTGCTGGCTGTCCAACAGGCTCACCCTGCATACCAATCAGTCCGACATATGTTATGCTAAAAAGATGTCTTCATTTGCCTATCTGATGGGGATGTACACCAGTTAAACAAGAGTGAATTGCGGGACATTCACTCCATCACTTGGCTCGCAGCGAGCGTCGACAGCCTTTCTGAAATTAAATAGCATCTTACTCAGTATTCTCATCACAGACTGGAGCAGAGAGCAGCAGCCAGGAATGGGTGGAAAAGAAAGCAGGATGAGGCAAAGGCACACAACACTGCTGCACTTAACGCCCCTCTCCGCTTCGCTCGGCTTTGCTCTGCTCTCAGGCGCTTAAAATCTCAAATGAATGAACATGTCTGTTGACTGTCTGTAATTTCATTATCCAAGTTAACAGGGCAACATGTTGCTCCACCTCATTTCTATAGCATGTTTGACCCACACTAAATAATGAGGACAGGTCCAGATTCAATTAGCAGCCCTGAGGCAACATGCACTTTAAAATTGGACATCTTTGTATTCAGATTTGCTCAACAGGAAGTTACAGCAAACTGATTTTTGCGTTCAATTGAATAATATTGTTGCAATAAGGTATGAATTTAAGAAACAACTAGCAGCTAGTACCTCTACTGACCCTGTTTCTGTCTGAGTTAATGGATGATGAGTCCTTAAAAAAAAAAGGACAGTTCTGGTTGAAAAAGAAAATACTGCCACAGACTGGATCTGGTGGTCAAATACTGAAAAATCAAAACAATGTTCCTTATTGATTAAATGAAAGTGTAGCACACTGAATCCCTAACTATTGCCCTTTTAAAACTGGTATTTTATACATTTCAAATTAAACTATGGTTATCTTTTAGACTTTATCTTGTAATTTCTTAATTTTCTTTGGGATTCTGAACTAGGTATTTTCTTCTATTTAAAGTTTACTGTCAAAGAAAAATACATAGGTCAAAATCAGAAACAGCAGAAATATGAAAAGAAGTACCGACAAGCACAAGATCATGCAAATTAGATTTTTTTCACCATCGTTCTCCTAAATCATAAACAAGTGTACGGCATGGGAAAAAAAAAGCTAATTTAGAGCACTTCTCTAAAACTTTCTTTTAATTCTTCCATCCTGTTTGTAAGACCTTTTCATATAAGGTCAAAGAATAAAAAAGTGAGAAACGCCTAATGCAACCGTTTTTGGCATATATTTAGTTACCTTAACACAATTGTTTCATGTTAGCAGGGTAGGACATAAAACAATTGTGTTAAAGTAACTAAATATGATTAAGTAAATGCCAAAAGTGGTTGCGTTATTTTTTTTTTCAGAGTAACAGGGCAGAAATTCCCTGCATTAGTTCATCTCATATTTCAAAATTTAACTTTGCCCAATTGTTCAACATATAGATTAAAAACAGAGGTAAAGTGAACATCTCACCAGAAAATTTGCAACTCCACAAAAGAAAGAAAAAAATGAATATATCCTATTATTCTTCTTGAAAAGTTCAATTCAACCTAAAAAAAAAAATTAAAAAAAAATGTCAAAACATTATATTATAGCCCAATATTAAAACAGGTTGGAAGGGATGTAAAATGATACAGGCACCTATTGTTTGCGCCCAGAAAATGATCCCAGCGCTGGATGGACGGGTTGTCTTTTTGTGGGTGGGTGGGTTGGAACTAAAATCGATGGGAGTGAAGGTAATGATGAAACCACAGGTATTCCTCTGACTGGGAGAACCCCCCCTCTCTGTAAACACAGATTATGCTTCAAAACCTTAGATTATCTTTATAACATGTTTGCCAATAGCAGCGATTTACAGCTCCGTAAATGATCAATGCTTGTTGCGCTCTGTGGCTTCCTTCAAAGTTCCCCTTAAGACCGACTTTAGTCTGGTCTCTATTAATAAACAAAAAGGCTGCGGAGCGTCTAGACGGCGTTATATTGAGGCAGCCGCAGCAGACAAATTATACACAAGGTTATAGATTATGCAAAGGGAGCGGGGACTAGATTAAATACATTAAGGCGGTGGAGATCGTCTCCCCAGAGGACAGTATAGATCGCTGACAATGACCATATTAGGGAGACTTTACAGAAAAGAAGGAGCAGGATCGATCAGATCACGGGTTGTCTGCCATCGCGCGCCTTGACGCGCCACAACAAGGATAAACAGCGCTCAATATTCCACACTGACACACAACAAGCGCGGAGAGAGAGAAAAAGAAATGATCAAAATCTAAAAAGAGATAGAGCATTTGTGTAAATAGATATAAGTCCACCTGAGACAGAAAGGGGAACCGGAATGACGCGCAGGTGGCGAAATGAAATAGTCGGATCCAGCGAAAGGGGGGCAGGTAGGGGCTTTAATGCTGCTGAGGAGATAAAAGGGAAGGAGTGAAAAAGATCAGACACATTCGATAACAAATCAATTTACCATCGCTTCTGTTCTCACAGCGATTATTGATCAATCAAATATCCAATTGGCTGCAAATCAATTAACAGCCTGTCAGAGCGGAGGACGGATTTTTCTGAATTGTTTTGGGAATAAAGACCGTCCATCAACTGTGATGTCACCTTAAGCTTAAATGACTCAAGCTGACGCGTAAAGACACACTGGTGGGGAAAAAAGGAGCGCATTTGAGTGGAAATTGTATATTTAGTCAAATAAAACGAGCCGATTTCCCCAATCAAAGTGACGCTGCGCTGCGCGTCATGTGGTGTCTGGCTCCCGGTGAAGCAGCCAGACCTCACGTCCTCTGACTGCGATCTCCAGAATACTAACCAGACAACACGCACAGAAAGAGAGGCAGGTTGGACTGGTTGGTGGGGTTGGAATGGTGGGGGGGTGTGGGGGGGCACGTCAACCTTAACATCTCTGAAACCGGCTAAATGCAAACTTCCACACCTTGCAGCGCAATCAGGTACACACTTGTTCCAAAGCCAGAACTCCTCAACTTGGCTGAGCCGGACTGGCGTCCGCTGGCAACTTCAGCGCAAAAGGTTGAGCGAGGACAAGCGCAGCGAGCAGAGCGCTGCAAAAACAGAAACGCATGAAAAAGAAAACAAAAAAAACAAAACATCCCATATGGTGAATGAAAGTACGCGGAATAAACAGTGGGACGCGCATGCAGGGTAGTGGGTCTGGCACTTGTCGCCGGGAAACTGCAGCTGCGTTTACCGGGTCGGTACTCACCTAAGTTGCACGTTTTGACTCCGTGAAGTGCACGGGGGTTGGGGCTACAGCATAGTAAGGCAGTTCGCAGTACCCGCTCTCTCAACACGCACTAACTCCTTTCTTCTCTCGCCTCAGCAAATCAACATGGTGCTGACGTCAACGCAGCCAGTCAGCCAGACGAGCAGCAGCAGCAGCAGGCAGGCAGGCAGGCAGGCAGCCGGGCGCTGAGCTGCGCTCCGTCCAAACGCTGAGAAAGTGAGACACCTAGGGGGCTGTCTCATGTCAGGCTACAGTGGAGGAAATGAAAGGTGACTGACTCTGCCCCCTTCCAGCTGTTGGAACACAAGTACAGTAGCCAACAGCTGTAATATCAACACGGACAGGGGCGCATCCAGAGGAATTAAGGGTCTGTGGTAAAATCTGAAAATGGGGACACCTAAGATAGATAGATAGATAGATAGATAGATAGATAGATAGATAGATAGATAGATAGATAGATAGATAGATAGATAGATAGATAGATAGATAGATACTGTAAAGAGCACCAACACAATATTTATTTATTAAGTAAAAATATATAACAACAAAAAAGAAGCAAAAAAACTAAAAATGCATTCAAATTGTTCCTAAAAAGCTTTTAATATTAATAATTTAACTTTACTGATCTCTCACAGGAGAAATTTACCTCTGTATTTAACCCATCCCCTTGGGAAGAAGTGGGCTGCCATTGTGTGGCGCCCGGGGAGGAGTGCAGGGTTAAAGGAATAGTACACCCAAAACATGATTAGCCTTCATTTTCTACTCACCCCCATGCTGAACAACACTCTGGAGTACTTTTTTGAT